TTGTTGACCAACAAAATACCAAAAAGGCTGAGAAGTATCATCATGTTATTAATTTGTGCAATGTGTGACTGTGCAGTTGCAATCTGTGCAGATTGCAATCTGTGCAAATCTGTGCAGATTGTGCAGTTTGCAATCTGTGCAGAATTGCAATCTGTGCAAATCAAATAATGGAACTATATTCATTAATCAAACAGAAGCAGGCAGCACAACACACAGATTGTTGACCAACAAAATACCAAAAAGGCTGAGAAGTATCATCATGTTATTAATTTGTGCAGTGTGTGACTATGCAGTTGCAATCTGTGCAGATTGCAATCTGTGCAAATCTGTGCAGATTGTGCAGTTTGCAATCTGTGCAGATTGTGCAGTTTGCAATCTGTGCAGATTGCAATCGGTGCAGATTGTGCAGTGTGTGACTGGAGAGACGAAGAACCGCCTTTGCTGAAGTATCATCATGTTATTAATTTGTGCAGTGTGTGACTGGAGAGACGAAGAACCGCCTTTGCAGAAGCAAGCCTCAAATGCGCCTTCTCAACTGAACTGTAAATCACAAAACTTTACATGAAATTTGATGCCTCATATTACAAAAATTGTACACAATCCGCACAGATTTGCAAACTGCACAAATTGTTTGAAAAAAAAAAATTCGATACCTCGGATAGAAGAATCAAACCAGATACACACTCACTGAGCAACAATCAGCACTATAAGAAATCAAAAACCCAGATAGTTAGAGACACTCAGACACCCATTTCCATATGAAGATTAAACTACACTCCCAGAAGCAAATAATCAAAGCAAGCAAGTTCCCTTGTCTTTAATCTACTTCCAGGTAAGGACAGCTTGAAGACTACATATATATAGATATATTTACCAAATCAGCAGCTAAACCAAGTTAGCTCTGCAGCTGACACGATCTTCGTGCGATCTGAAACACAGAGATAGCATTCCACAGATATCATTAACAATGAAATAATCCAAGGGAAAGTGATGCCTAAAAGAAAAATCTAAAAGGGTGCAAGCAAAAAAGTAAAAGGGTACCAACTCAAGTGTAAAAAGATAAAATTTTTATACTTACAGAATCAGCAGGAGTTTAAGTAGTGCACCTTAAACTACTTCTTCTTGTTAAAAACCACCTGAACCGAGTGAACAAAGTAAATAATCAATTCAAATTTCAAACAGGAAAGAGCTTCCTAAAAAATCCAAGAGACTAGAACATAAACCTAGTCAAATATGAGTTAAATCAGAAACTTTAAAGTTAAACACAGCCTCTTACAAATCAACATGCAAATGGAAAATTAACTCTAGTAGTAACCTAGTTCGAAAACCCTAAAATCCCAAATTCCAATTTAAAAACCCTAAAATCCCTACCTACACCCAAAATTCAAATTAATAACAAAACCCTAATTCAAAATTACCTAAATTTTAGAGGGATGATGGCCTGGGTTCTCTGGCGGTCACGACGGTGATGGGGTGATGAAGTCACGACGGCGGGGGTTGCTGTCGAAGAGGAGAGAATCTGGGATGTTGTCGATGGCAAGGGTGGTCACGTTGTATTCGCCGAGGAGAAACGACGGTTGGTGAGGGGATCGGAGTCGAGGGAAGGGAATCGGGATGAGAGAGAGATAGAGTGAGAGAGTGAGAGAGTGAGAGAGTCGGGACTCGGGAGGGAATCGGGATGAGAGAGAGATAGAACTTAGGGTAAAACTAAATCAACGGTTCAGATTTGATATGGTATCTTAATCATCCATCTGGTCCGTTCATTTTAATTACAAACGGGCCGCCGGGTACCCGCGGGTCCTATACCCAGGAACCGGCCCGGACTGAAATTCACAAATACCCGGCCCGGCCCGCCCCGTTTCTTTTTTTTTAAAGTAGGAACCGGCCCTTACCCGCCCCGACCCGCGGTTCCTGTACCCGTTTGCCCAGCCCTAACCCTGATCATGATCGGATGTGGGACCATGAAAATATTTTCCAAATCGTGTGCGGTGAGACATGCCGCCACGTAAATCCACTGTCAACGATAGAGCGGTACTTGCTGTTCACCGGCACTGCCATTCTTCTCACTCAGCTTCCTAACCTCAACCAAGGTATTAAATATCGGTAATATCGGAAATATCGATAGTTCAGAAACACAGAAATATCGATGGAAATATCGGGATATTATCGATATCGATAAAAATAATATGGAAACCACTGAAATTGTAAGAAAAACTTAGAAATTTTTATTGAAACTTTGCAGGATGTTTATTTAGTCAATTTATCTATTAGTTTATCACAAAAAATTGGAAGGAAATGCATTGCATGATGGATTTAACTGATTTAAGTTGATTATATAGCGAGCTGGCAAACATTGTGAGTGTAGAAAATATGTAATAATTAGTGAAAGAAGTTTAAACACACAGTCACAGACTATCAAAAATTGTACATGTAAAAGCTGTAAAAGTTGAATTATTTAGATGCTTTTTTTTTCTTACACGCCACCCACACACACACACAGAGACTCTCACATGCCAACACACATATCACACATGCATATACACATCACACACGCAGACAGAGACTGAGGTATCTCTCTTTCTCTCGATCCTTCTCTCTTCTCTCCGACAGAGACTGAGGTCTTTCTCTCTCTCTCTCTCTCTCTCTCGATCCTTCTCTCTTCTCTCTCCCTTCTCCATTCTCCCGCACACACACACACAGAGATCTCTCGATCTCTTTTCTCCCTTCTCCCACACACACGCACATAGACATCGCCCTTCGTCATCGTCATCGTCTCCCACACACACGCACAGAGACCTCGCCCCTCGCCCCTCGTCATCGTCTCCACCGCAGATCTAGGTCTTTGAACGTCAAAGTTTCGAGCGCGCATCAGATCCAGGCGATCTGATTCTGACGTTGTAGTCGTCGCCGCCGCCACCAACTTCCTAAGCCAAGAATGGAGAACCTGATCTCGTTGGTGAACAAAATCCAAAGAGCTTGTACTGCTCTAGGGGACTATGGCGAAGGTAGGGCATTCGTCGTCGCCGTCGTCGCCATCGCCGTCGGTGGTTAGGTCAACTCCCGGTCCCTCACCTTCTCACCTCTTCGATTGATTCATGCATATGAATTGTGGTTGTGTTTTCAATCGCTATGTAGCTTAGATCTTGATCTTAATCGTGTTTTTGCAAGGTTTTTAGGACGAAATTGGCTCGGGAATCGGCACACCCATTTCCGGCGTTCTTCTCTGATTCGCACGTATCCAAAAATATCGCGATATTTTGTCGAAAACTGCTTGGATAAGGATTAAAATATTGGTAACCCGAAAAACAGATATTATCGGCGAAATATCGCCAATAATATTGGCATTTCAGACCTTGACCTCAACTCAATAACCGGGATTTCCCACACTGGGGCTATGACTGCCGTAAGCTACTGCACACTCATTTGAGTGGTTTCTGTCACCAAAGATAGACCCAACGGTGTTTCTTATAAGCCGCTGGAAACAAAATCTGATGCAGCCACCGTTTTCAGTGTCCTAAATGCGCTTGGGATCACTACCTTCGCTTTCAGAGGCCACAACCCTGTGCTTGAGGTACAGGTAACTGACTAAATGTGTGGACATCCTGTTGATATGGGTAAATATAACGTCGATGTAGTTGATATATTATTGGTATGATTGTCGATATGTTGTAAATATTTTGTCTACAAGTGCACTTAACCACAACCTAGTAAAAGTAATATATACATAAATTATTTGGAATATTTGCAGGGAACCATGCCTTCGAGCTCTAAACGGCCGTCGCGTTTGCCAATGTGGGAGGGAGTCATCCCATTCCTTAATATTCAAAACGTCTTTTGCTTTTGACTAAACTGAAATTAGCAAATGTTTTTTTGACCTGGATTGCGAATTGTATCTATGGCAGATACCTTCAAGCGGGGGATGTTAAATGCTTTGAACAAATACCACGGACATGACACATCAAAACTTGTCCTAGGATTGACAAGCATGCTCGTCGTGGTTAACAGCCTCAGCTCCCTTCAAATATATGCAATGCTGGTTTTCGACAATCTCGAATTCAGATTTACTAGCAGCGTGAACAAACCGTGTCCTTGGTGGCTACGCTCCGGATTTAGGATTTTCTTCGGCTGCTTTGCATTTTTTATATCTATTGCACTACCATTCTTGCCCAGCCTAGCAGGAATCATCGGAGGAGTTGCGGTACCAATCACCTTGGCGTATCCATGTTTCATGTGGATACTGATTAAGAAACTTTGTAAATGTTGCACAATTTTTAACTGGGCACTCGGAGCCTTGGGGAAAGCGGGGGATGTTAAATGCTTTGAACAAATACCACGGACATGACACATCAAAACTTGTCCTAGGATTGACAAGCATGCTCGTCGTGGTTAACAGCCTCAGCTCCCTTCAAATATATGCAATGCTGGTTTTCGACAATCTCGAATTCAGATTTACTAGCAGCGTGAACAAACCGTGTCCTTGGTGGCTACGCTCCGGATTTAGGATTTTCTTCGGCTGCTTTGCATTTTTTATATCTATTGCACTACCATTCTTGCCCAGCCTAGCAGGAATCATCGGAGGAGTTGCGGTACCAATCACCTTGGCGTATCCATGTTTCATGTGGATACTGATTAAGAAACTTTGTAAATGTTGCACAATTTTTAACTGGGCACTCGGAGCCTTGGGGATAGTCCTTAGCATTTTAATCGTCACCGGAGCAATTTGGAACATAGTCACTATATGGGAATAGAAGTCCACTTCTTCAAGCCTCAAGAAGCAACCGTGGCAATAAGAACACCAAGGAGCATCCCGCTCTCGACCTTAACCATCAACCAATGCTTCCATTTTCCCCTGGTCATATAAGCATACAACCATTGCCTTGTAAAGGAACATACCCAACGCTAATCCTAAAGAACGAAGTGGCAATTTTAACAACGGTTCTGACATCTAAAGTAATTTTACTTCATGCTGCACATCCACACAGTAAAACAACACTTTGGGGTATATGCATCTGAAATGTCATAGACTTGTTTCTTATGTCATTGTATTGTTCATAAGTAAAGAAAACATCACTATATCATTAGTAATAGGCCGACAACAGAATATTCTCGGTAGTAACAGAAGAAACCGTATGGTTAACTAACCTTTCCTCCCCTCACTAACGAAATCTTACTATCTTGATCAATCAACTTGCCACTCTGATCAGCATCTTCCACAGAAATCACATCAAATTTTTACCTAACCTTTGAACGCAATGATTACACATTCCACCCTGATCAACATGCCATACAGACCAAATGCAATGGCCAAGACTTTTCCAGATGTACACAACAATAAGGTTGGGTAGCGCGTGCCCCTCATCTAGTATTACATAGATAATGGAAGAAGCATCCTCCGTTTCTTTTTCCTAGCCAATCTCACTTGCTTTGTAACTTTTATGCACAAAAGCAAGAGCATTGCAATGCATACTAAGACGAAAGCAAGTCGCATATGCCTAAAATATAAAGAAACTGCCGAAAAAACCAGGAAAGCTAGGATTACCAGTTCCCATATTACAAAGAGCACAACATCCACCCTGCATCCACAAGTTGGGGCAAAAAAAGAAATATTAACATCAATAGTAACATCTCAGATATATCAGTATGAAAAATATGCACAAACACAATACTCCTACATTATCAGAAAGGGTCAGTTCTAACCAAGTTCATTAAGTGCAAAAGACTAGAGAACATCAAGAAAATCAAAGACGAACATAAAAGCAGCACGAGCCTAAATGCAATCACTATCCAAGAGAACCCTAATGACACATCATCATCTTCACAAACTGAATCTTCTAATGATCAGCAAACCAACAGTTGTTACCAGTTAGTTGATTCATTGTTATGTTTAGTTTCAGTCAATAAAGTTAGATAGTTAGATACTGTTAGCTGAGTTGGGCAAGTGTTAGCCTGTATGTCCAAACCTATTTAAACATCTCTGTAATCATTATCAATCATATCGAGAAAATCATTTCATTTTTCATTTTCCATTTTCTCTCTTGTGTAACCTTAAAACCTGCTATTTATGGGAAGTTTATTCACTAGAATTCATTTCAATGTTCAGAAAGCATGCATAATGACGAGCTGTGTAAACGTTCCTCTCTGATGCGATAACCAAGTTCAGATGTTGATAAATGAGAGTCTTTCTAGTTTCTTGAGTTGAGCAATGCATGAAGTTTAAACATGTGTCCGCACGTTCATAGTCTTAGAGTCTCTCTATGTCACATTGTAAATGTTTAGGTGTAATAACACTCTTCTTGAGAATTCCTGGATGGATCTTTCCAAATCCATGTACCAATTATCCTATAAAAGAAGGTCTGTGATTTCCTTCTTCTGTGCAAAGCAAAGGTTCACATGGAGTGATTTGAATACACAAATGGGTGATGCAAAGGCGGAAGACCAAAATGAGTCCGAATCTCTTCTTATTGTCCTACATCACTCCCTCAGATGAATCGACAATCTGGGCTCCTGTCCAATGCATCTCCAGGAATCCTGAATTGCAGACAACCACTACCAAATTCGAAAAAACAGGCACTATAATATACCAAACCAACATATCTTTTCATCATCATTTTGTTTTTCCCTATTTATTTAAAATTCTGTCATTCTACCCCTTCCTCCATTGAACTATTGATTAAATCGAGCTCAAACGACAGGAATTAGGCCTCCAATCGAAGCTAAAGCCTAAAGTTGTGACTAAAAACCTCACCTTAAATAATTAGCAATTATCAAATCTAAACTAGAGCCACACTTTAATGTTTCTCCCAAATTGTTAAGCATATAAATCGCATAATCAGAAAGCAAGATAACAGAAATCAAAGATAATGGAGAAATTAAACAGAAATCGGGAAAGTGGAGGGGAGTGGGTTGAAACCTTGATAAAGTATGATTGAAGGAGGTGGAGGAGAAGAAGGAGACGGAAGCCCATTCATGCTTCGATCGAATCTGATACTCTCGCAACTGCTCCGCCAGATTCGATCGCGTTATCATCTCTTTGCCTTTGCCTTTGCCTTGTATGAACCTCTTTTATTATCTTTACAAGAGCTCCTCCGAGGTTCTCTGCAACTGCAACATTGGATTCGAACGACGGAACGACGGAACGACGAGTATCCGCTGGTTTTCGTTGCGTCTTCCCAATCCGTGGACCTCCTAGCCCTCGACGTTAAAATGATCTCTGTGGACTCCCTCGAATGGCTCGGTTTTTTAGTATAATTTGGTAAGCCGGGGTTTTCCTAACAAAAGTAGCGTTTAAACCGGATCAAATTAAACTGAGCTGTTCAGTTTATTCCATCTTTTTTCAATATTGCAAAGGTAAACTAGTACGCGCTTTATTATAATAGTGGAGAAGTATTTTTTCTTTGCATCACGTCATAGATTTGAACTCTGATTATTTTCTAATCTAACAAATCTAACAAATTGTCAATAATTGATTTGGAGAAATCAAAAGATGAGTACTTCCTAAGAACAGATGATTATGATGCACGAGAATAAAATTGCCCTGCGAAAGATTAAAAAGAGTTAAACATAAGGTGGGCTTTTCACCCGGCCTATTTTTATTGTGTTTGGGGTAAAGGTGGGCCTTCTTAAGTTCGCATAACTCTTATTGATTGGAAGTTAGTTTGAATTCGAAAAGCCCTAAATTTAGGCTTAAGTAAAGACGGTCCACGCTTGCAGTGGAGCCGAATGAATGACATACCCACATGGAAACAACGGACAAACCCCCAAACCCCTCCGAGAATCCCCCTAATGATGTCGTCTTCGACGACTCGTCGCCGGAAACCGACCTCACTCCCTCAAGCTCAACCCCTCACGAAAATCACTCGTCGGAAAACCCATCGGCACCTCCCCAAACGATACTCGAAGCCCCCGTTTCGGACTCTCAAGATGACTCCTCCGGGCCCATTCCCGAAGGCGAAGACACCCTTCTCGATCAACGGCACCTCCAAAACCCTATCGAACCGGGCCCAGCTGAACCCGGTCTGCCAGCCAAGAGACGCCGTCGCAGGAAGAAGTTCTTCACGGAGCTCAATGGCTCTCCGTCGTTGGCCAAGAACCGCCGCACCGACCTCAACAAAGACGTCGACGTCGAAGCCCTAATCGCAATATCAGTGGGGTTTCCGGTCGACTCGCTCACGGAGGAGGAAATCGAGGCCAACGTGGTCCCCACCATCGGCGGCGTTGAGCAAGCCAACTATATCGTCGTGAGGAACCACATTCTGTCTCGCTGGAGGTCAAATGTGTCTTTCTGGTTGACCCGGGAGCTGGCGCTGGAGTCGATTCGCTCGGAGCACAAAGGCCTGGTAGACTCAGCTTATGAGTTTCTGGTGGAGCACGGCTACATCAACTTCGGGCTTGCACCGGCGGTGAAAGAAGCAAAATTGAGATCCTTTGTCGAGGCCGAGAGGGGCAATGTGGTCATTGTGGGGGCTGGCTTGGCGGGTTTGGTGGCTGCGAGACAATTGGTGTTTTTGGGCTTCAAAGTTGCGGTCTTGGAAGGTAGGAGCAGGCCTGGTGGTCGCGTGAAGACGAGGAAGATGGTAGCCGAGCGTGAGGGAGTGGAGGCTGCGGCGGATCTCGGCGGAAGTGTCCTCACTGGAATCAATGGCAACCCGCTTGGAGTTTTAGCTAGGCAACTGGGTTTGCCTCTTCATAAGGTGAGGGATATTTGCCCGCTTTATTTACCAGATGGGAAAGCTGTGAATTCTGAGATGGATTCTAGTATAGAGGCTTCTTTTAATAAGTTGTTAGATAGAGTTTGTAAGCTTAGGCACGCAATGATAGAGGAAGTTAAGTCCGTAGATGTTTCGTTAGGGACTGCATTGGAAGCTTTTCAACGCGTTTATAGTGTTGCCCAAGACCCACAGGAGAGGATGCTCTTGGACTGGCATCTTGCTAATTTGGAATATGCAAATGCTTCCTTGATGTCCAATTTGTCCATGGCCTATTGGGATCAGGATGATCCCTATGAGATGGGAGGTGACCATTGTTTTATCCCGGGAGGCAATGAGACTTTTGTGCGGTCCCTTGCAGAGGGCCTTCCAATCTTCTATGAAAGGACTGTGCAAAGTATTCGGTATGGTTCTGATGGGGTTTTGGTTTATGCAAACGGGCAGGAGTTTCGTGGGGACATGGTTCTTTGCACTGTCCCGTTAGGTGTGCTTAAGAAGGGTTCCATTGAATTTGTCCCTGAGCTTCCACAAAGGAAGAAGGATGCAATTCATGGTTTAGGATTTGGATTACTGAATAAGGTTGCCATATTGTTCCCTTATAACTTCTGGGGTGGAGATATTGATACTTTTGGGCACTTGACTGAGGATCTGACTATGAGAGGCGAGTTCTTTCTGTTTTATAGCTACTCTTCTGTATCAGGAGGGCCTCTTCTAGTTGCTCTTGTGGCTGGAGATGCTGCAATTAAGTTTGAATTGATGTCTCCTGTTGAGTCTGTGAATAGGGTGTTGGACATATTAAAGGGTATTTTCAACCCGAAGGGGATTGCTGTTCCGGAACCTATTCAGGCAGTGTGCACTCGGTGGGGGAAGGATGACTTTGCATACGGATCTTATTCATATGTTGCAGTAGGGTCTTCAGGAGATGATTATGATATTCTGGCAGAGAGTATTGGGGATGGGAGAGTGTTCTTTGCTGGAGAGGCTACTAACAAGCAGTATCCGGCAACAATGCACGGAGCTTTTTTGAGTGGGATGAGAGAAGCGGCTAACATACTGAGAGTATCCAAACGGCGGCCAATTATCCCATCAGAAAAGTCAAGTAATGTTGGTGATGAGATGGACGATTTGAATAATTTATTTGACACCCCTGACCTAAGATGTGGGAGCTTCTCTGTTTTGTTTGATCCCCGGTCAAATGAGTGTGATTCTGCTAACTCGCTGTTGAGGGTGACATTTGGAGTGGGAAATATGGACATGGGATCATGTCTCTCTCTTTGCCTATATGGTTTGATTTCGAGGAATCAGGCGAAGAAGTTGAGTGAGGTAGAAGGGGATGGGAACAGGATGAGAATGATAAATGTGGAATTTGGGGTGAGGTTGGGTGGGAGGAAAGGTCTAAGTGGTGCTGGGGAATCATTAATCAGCTACATTAGGGCAGCAAAATCAAAACCGAACGTAGATGGAGGAGTTAAAGTATGAAGAATCCTGGGTGTGTGTTGTGCATAATGGATTGCAGTTGATTGGATCATTGATTTGAGCAGCTGGATGGAATTCATGGGCAACTGAACTGGACTGATTTGGTTTGGTAGTGATTATTTCTGCCTTGGTTGAGTTGTTGCTTAATTCTGTCCTTGGAAGTGCAAAAGTGATTGTGAGTTATTTATTCTTCATCCTCTTACTCACTCATGAATTGAGATGAAGAAGTATGATTTTTCTTCATTCAGTTTGCAGTATGCTTTTTGTGTGGCTGTTTACGTTTTGCTGCGTTGTTTGTTTCCAATCTCCATGGACCGTAGAGTATAGACTATAGGGACGGATGACGAAATTGATTGATCTTAACTATACCAAAACTTGGTGGCTAGGAATTGGATTGGATTGAATTAAAAATAACTAGATTCTAAATTTTGTCCGATCCTACCATTTTGTAAGGATTATGCAAGGATTATGAGGTATAAATTTTCTTCATGCTCGATTCATCTGAAGTCCTTCGACTAGGATAAAAAGCCCTCGGATCCTATGCATGACGGAAATTCACATGGGCAATGGGTAATGGGCCCGGCCCAAATAGTTGCGTATAAAACGATGAGAAAAGTTTAGCAATGCTCCGTGCCTTCTAAACTTTTCTCAATTATTTCGTTAATATTTTATTTTTCAGTCTATCGTACGACAAAAGCTTCTGAATTTGCTGTATATATTTGAAATTGTGAATTGTAATTCATCGTTAAGTTTAACAAAGTTTTAGACAAACAGTACCGAGTCACGTGCAGACCGTCCAAAATTGGTACTTGACTTGTATTCTAATATTTCATAGGGTAACTCGATTGGTTGAATTTTGGGCTTAAACCAAATCTAAAACGGTACGTCGCCTAGCCATCGTTCGAGAATCGCGGCATGCTGCCATCTGTACTCTGTACCCCACCATAGTGATGAACCCGACAAGTGGCAAGTCATAACCATTCATAACCGAACACAGATCCCCTTCGGATCTGTGCAACCGCAACCCAAGAATCAATAGTTTCATACCATTAAAATTTAATCAAACGATTACAAATAAAAAATTCTTCTAAAAATTATGATAGTTATAATCGTTAAATCAAATTTATTAACTCCGGTTGCACATATCCGTAGAGGATCTGTGTTCTTCAAAGCCCTAATGAATAATAAAATGGCCCACCATAATAATTTACCGTGCACCCACCATCGCAAACCTCGAAAGTCCCCTCCCTCCTTCCGACGATTGCTACGTGGTTCCCTCCATCAAACCGACCTTCACGCATTTATACGAACAAGGCCGACACTGAGGGGTCCCACACTTGCACTCCTCCCACGTTCTTCTTACACGTTGCGGCCTCTTACTGGTACATGCTCTCAGCACCAGTACGTCTCACCTCTCCTCCTTTAAGACTTTCCTCTTTCGCCTTTAAGACTGTTTGATTTCCATTATTTGATTTGCCTACAAGGAACGCACAACTCGCCGCTCCTAACTGGCACATTTGCCATTCTGACACGCGTCGGCTATCCGTGGCGAGTGGAAATTTGCGCGGGTACCAATTCTCCTCTGTCCTTTTATGATTGAATGCACCACGTCGGTCGGTTGCAAAACTTTACAATGGGAAATACTGAAAGAAATAGCATTAGGTTTTGCTGCTACAGCCTACAGCTCACATTTATTTTATTTTATTAGTAATACATATAATCTACTTTTAACTTAATGGCGTCATATGCGTGTGCGTGGATGCTATATAAAGCTCACTCTCTGCGTAAGAAAAGAACATCAAAGCAACATTTCAGCTCTCTTTACAAAACTATTATTCTTTAAGTAAGTTGTGATTTGATAATAAGAAAGTATGGCGGAGGAGTACAACAAGAGCCAAGAACACGAGTACGAGAGGAAGACTGGGGATTACGAGGAAGGATCTGGTGCAGGCGAGACCAAGGATCGCGGGTTGTTTGATTTCTTGGGGAAGAAAGCGGAGGACAAGCCAACTTCTTATCAGCATGAGGAGAAGCCAGCTTCTTATCAGGAGGAGGAGGTGATCGTCACTGAGTTTGATGAGAAAGCCAAGATCTCCGATCATCATGAGGCACTGGCTCCTGATCAGTACACATCATCATACAGCAAAGTAGAAGAGGACAAGGAGAAGAAGCACGAGAATCTCTTGCAGAAGTTTCACCGATCTAACAGCAGCTCTAGCTCTGTAAGTATTCGTATTTGGAAATTATTTTTAAAAATTATTATTAGCACTTCAAAAAATTTATTCTACCTTCTAAACTTTCTATCTTTCTATATTAGGAAAGAAAATTATATTTGTGAGAGTGTTGAAAGAAATTGTTAAGAGTGCCAATAGCATTTCTTTTTTTTATTTATTCTTATTACAAACGATTTGCTTTTAGGGACGGTTTGATATAGGCGCCTTATTTTTGAATTTTATAGACTCAACATCTATGTCTTTTAGACATTTGATTAAACTCTTCTTCTCATCATTTTGTTGCCACATATATTATAATTAATCATTTTTATACCAAAATTACATGACCTGCCACTACTCTATATTTCTTAATCTCACGCCAAAAAAGTGCACAGTATTGAACCAAACTTCCTACTATCTAGCATTTTGATTAACTTCTCCCCCTTTGGAGATAATTGTAAACAAAAAAACCCTAGTTAAATACAATTTATTTTCACAATACTTACTACAATTTAGCAATGATTATCTACGATTTAATATTTTATTCCCAAAATGGTTGAAAATATTTTTAAATCTCACGAAATCAAATGTACCAATATAATTTTTTATATCAATACATTAAGAGAAAATAGGACTAATAACAATATAAACGTACCAATAAATAAAGTGTATGAAATCAAACGTACCAAAATCAAAAGTAATGTATCAATATCAACAATATGTACCAAAACTGCAAATAAATGTACCAATCAATGTTTTTTACAAATTAAAACGTACCTAACGGCAGTATACACATAATATGTTGTACCTAATAATAGTTGCTCAACAACTATAAGTAAAAAATAAAAATAAAAAATAAAAAACAAAGAAAAATAGTTTGACAAAAAAAAGGGGAAATATTACACAGTGCTTTGTTGGATCGCCAACCATTTGGAAAAAAAAATCAATAAAACGAACCATTTGACAAAAATAGATAATATTAATGTTTGTAGAACAAAAAAAAATATTTTGATCGAAATATTATAATTGGAAAAAGGGATAATAGAGTTAATAACTAATACTCCACTAAATAAGGGGAAAAACGCATTAAAAACTTAAGAGGATAAATATAGAATTAATAATTAACATTTTATTTTAAGAAAATACAATAATGATATGTAATTTAATTTAACAGAAAATTGTGAGGTGTCTATTGGTCAAAGCACTTTAATCAAATTTTAAAAAGACACAAATGTTTAATTTAAAAGATATAAAAAAGTTGTAGGGGTTCTAATTTTCCCTTGCTTTTAAGCTAATTAAAAGGAGAGCATGTATTGTATTATACATATTTTTGGCAAGATTTCTTAACCCAAAAAAGAAGGAATCCGGATCTCGCTGGATCCTCTTTGTTAGGAGCTCAAGGATCTGAATCATGTTCGTTAATGATCAGAAATTATTTTAAATATTTTACTTAAAATTGAATATAAACAATCCGACAAAAATATCATAAACAAATATAATTTACGAATTTTTAGAATTCTCATCATAAAATCCGGAGAGATCCTGTTGGGATTTTATAGATCAAGGTTTTTCTGCATATTCCACGTGTAATCACGTAGTGTTTACGTTGATTATATATTTGACATAACATTTAGAATAATTATAAGAAGATTAAATTTATAAATTAAATTAACAAATCTGTCACTAAAAAAAAAATAAGAACGTTTATTAATAATTAAGTAATAATTTAATTACAAAATTTTATATATTTAGTTTACAAAATTTAATCAACAAATTTAATTTTTCTAGCATTACTCACATTTATTCTTGTTCTTAATTTCCATAACTTAAATGTCTAAACTTTATGAAATCTCTGAACATTCGCAGTCAAGCGATGAGGAGGAAGATGAAGAGAAGAAGAAGCAGAGGAAAGAAAAGAAGGGATTGAAGGATAAGATCAAGGAGAAGATCTCCGGTGATGATCACAAGGAAGAAGGCTATCACAAAGAGGACACGGCTGTCCCAGTGGAGAAAGTGTACGAGGAGGAACATCATCATCAAGCTCCAGCTCCGGTTGTCCATCACCACGAAGAGCCCACTGACTACCCAACTGAGGAAAAGAAGGGTTTCCTCGAAAAGATCAAGGAAAAGCTTCCTGGCCACAAGAAGACTGAGGAGGTTCCAGTTGGTGCTGCTTCGTACGAACAGCAGAGTCACGATCATCATGCCACGGAGCCACCGGTGGTAGCCTCTTATGAAGCTGGCGAAGAGCCCAAGGAAAAGAAGGGTATTATGGAGAAGATAAAGGAAAAGCTTCCTGGGTACCATTCCAAGACCGAGGAAGATCACAAGGACATCAAGGAGAAAGAGAAGGATACTCCTTCCTATTAATTAAGGGATTAAGAAAAAAAACAACATATATAATCTTGTTTTGTGTTCGGAAATAATGGTTATGGGGGTGTCATTTGTGGTTTGTTAATTTCCTCCTCCCTGTGATGGGTGGTTTATTTGCCATGTTCTCTTGAGAGTATATTGGGCATATATACAAGTTTGTTTAGGGTTTCCGTTATAGGGTTCTCTTTGGTTTCGGAGGACCTTGAGTTTCTTTTGTATGTTATCTAAACATTATTGTTGTTAATAAGATATTTGTTCTTCCTTTGTATTCCCTTCGTGTGGTCTCTGTATATATACACACATGCTTTGCATATTTATGAACCGGATTATATGTTGAATGGTTCTTTGTAAATTTGTTTTATGGCACTATTGAAGAAGCAAATGAAGTAATGTAAGAAAATGCTCAAGGAATAATCATTTCCTTAATTAATCAGGACGATCACTTGGATCTATGTACCATATAGTGTTGTACATGCGTGAAAGTGAAGAGTAACATGGAGGTGGGAGTGATAAGTGGAGTAACATGATGTCAAAATGCGCAGAGGTGCAAAAGGAGGGAGGCTTGGTTGGTCAAGATAGGAATATCAAACATATCTCTTAATTTAAACTTGTAATATTATAAGTCTATATACATTATACAGCAACAAAAGTAGTAGCATAGCTTAATTTCTAATTTTGCCTCTCTTTTCTTATCGTGAGTTTGTTCTAATATGTAAAGACAAATGTTAACACAAAATGTGGAAGGGTTCTTTGAATCAATTAATTCAATAATATTGTTACAACATTTACATTGTCATCTTGTTGTATTTACTTGGATCTCACCTGCTTGCTTCTTTATACCTACATTATTTCAATTGGACCCATAATATCAAAAGATGATGTCCGTTGGGAAAATGATGGATCGTGCTTGCACCACTCATCTTATTATCGATCGTCCGTTTCTTACAACTCATGAGCTGATGCTTCATATTATTACAACCTAATAATATAACATATATTATTTTCAATCAACATCTTTTCATATATAGTTCAAGAGCTTAGGAAGCCGCCAAATCCGAATCCTATTAAGAATCAGAACTTGACGACGGGTACCCAATTCCATGGCGTTTATTAGCTATATTTACCACTTTGAGTCTTGTGAATCAAGTCATAGTTCAAGAGCTTAAGAAGCCGCCGACTCCGGATCCTGTGGAGAATCAGAACTTGACGACGAATACCCAGTTCCATGGCGTTTATTAGCTATATTTACCACTTCAAGTCAAAGTTCAAGAGCTTAGGAAGCCGCCGACTCTGAATCCTGTGAAGAATCAGAACTTGACGACGGGTACCCAATTCCATGGCGTTTATTAGGGAACACAACGAAAACAGTTCCGGCTATTGCACCAATAACCGGAGGCAACACCTGTAGCAAAACCTTCTCAGTGGACTCGAACCCTGGATAATAGCACCTGACAGTGTTGGCGTCCAAAAGTGACACAACTGCAAACACAATCAAGGAAAAGAAGGCATGCACAAAGTCCCCAAACCTAAGCTTGTAAGCAGACAAATCCACAGAGTTTGAACTCGTCGAGGGCCAAAGCCCCTTGCATGTTGCCACCCCATAGTGTGTTTGTTCATCACTGCCTTTGTAACTGTCTGTAAAGGAAGAAAAGCAGCAGGAGAAGCCGCAAACACCGATGAGAACGGCGCTTAGGTATTTGTTGACAGCAGTGCATTTGCCGTTGTTGGTCAAGACAGGGTTGAGGAACTGGAACAAGAAGACCGTGCCTGTCGGGAGGAGCTTGATGAGGTTGCCTGCGCCTGTTAATGTTTTGTCTTTGACGCTTTTGTTGGTTGTGGTGGTTGTCTTGGATTTATAGGAAGAGCTCGTAGAACCCCCCATTTTTCGGAATTAAAGTATTGTTTTGACGGAGTTTATAGAAATGATATTTGAGAATTGTGTTGTAAATTGTGGTTTATGCGAGAGAGAAATTTGGTGTGTATTTATAGAGAAATATAAGAGAGGCAATTGGTTGGGAGATGAATTGCTTTCACGTTAACTGAAAATGTGGCGTTATCTTGTTGAGATGGAAATGTTGCTTTTACTCTTAGAAAGGGCGGGCTTAATTTCTAATCCAAGTTTTGAGTATTAATATTGTGGAATTTTTGTACTCTGGAAGGTTAACAAATCTAATTAATGACTTTAGATGGGCTTAGGAGATGAGTTGAAATTAAATAGATTCAAAGATGTAAATGATTCACTTCTCAAAATTGGGCTGCACGTATTGTATTGCTCTCAATAAATTGATTTCAAGGCTAAATAGTGTTTGGTCCATACATTCACTCTCTATTCTCTTCGATTCATCTGATCCCTGTATTGGAGATCTCTACCCCAATATATTGTCCTCTCTCTCTCTCTTTTGGCCTCTCAAACCAGCATTTAATATGTCAACCATTTGCACTAGCTTACTGACACATTTCCACCTATTCGGCTAGACCCTCGTCAGTGAAGTGATGTTTTAGCAGTCGGCGTGGCGCTCCTTTTAAGATTCAAGCAGCCCGATTTTCCCGCTCGGACCTTGGTTACTCTGCCCCGCCTTCCCAAGCACTCTCCCGATAGCCTTTATGTCCCATCCTAGGCCTCTGCTATCAATTGCAAGTGGCCATATGGTCTGAGTAGCACCTGAATGGTTTTACCTTTGGAGACTTGTGTCATATAGCTGTGCTCGCTCACATGTTCCACGCAGTCGGGTAGTCCTTCTTTTGTCTCAGTCGGCCTGAGCACTCGGGAAGGCCTCTTCTGACCATTTAGGTCTTGGGCTTCTTGGTCTTTCCTTAGGCTTATGTAGTTGGGTGGGCCTAAATGGACCCAATATTAACATGAATAAATAATAAACAAGATAAATTAGTGATTAGATTGTTGTGCAATCGTATAATATTTAAATTATATCAAAATACAGACGAAGTTAGGTCAGTTGGTTAGGACAATGTGCCCATCCATTTTCATTCAGACTCAAATTATTTTCTTGTAAATGAGCTATTTGTTGCCCATCCATTTTCATTCAAACTCAAATTCTTTTCTTGTAAATGAGCTATTTGTTGATTCCCCTTCCCCCCCTGGCGCGTGTGCGAGCGCGCGCACAGAGAATGTAATTGGCTAAAATTAAAGTTTAAGGGGGGGAAGGGAAAGGAAAAATCGACAAATACCTCCTTGTAAATTATAATATTGCAATTAAGAGTTGTTATTAACGTCGATTGTCAAACACAGGACTGAATATCATGCATGTCCGGCAGTTAAGAGTTGTTATTAACATTTAATGATATGTGAGGATCAAATGCCTATTAATCACAAGATTATATTATTTTAGGAAATGGCAAAAGACCAAGTGCAAGTTAAATTTGGGATAACTCAAAGTAAAAAAATTTGGGATAACTCATTCTTTAATGAACAAATTTCAAAAACCTTAGACATTTGACTTAATTCCAAAATAAAATAAGTAGATTTTTGTGGTTCAGGTAACTTAAGCGTCTACATTTATTTACGTATATTCTTTGAGATTTAATTTTCACTTCATAGAATTTCTTGTATTAGAAAAAAAATTTAGAAACTCTCCATAAGATTTTGAGAAGGAGTGAAAGTATGATTAGTTGTATATTATTGATGGTTTTATACCATCAACATTGAACAATGACGTTGTAATTTTCAAAACTTGCATGGATGTAGTGTTATTATTTTCTTGTTTAGTGCACGAAGAGTGCATCTGAGGAGGGTTTATTTTATTTTTTAAGAAAAAACGTTAAAGTTGCAAATGTACCCGCAAGTCATGGGAAGATGAAAAAAAAAAAAGCTTAAGACATTGACACCAATACCAGTAAGGGGCCGCTGTATTTTGTTGGAGCCAGCAAAATTGAAGCCACTTGAGTCAGTCATACCAAGAGCCGCCAATTTTTATTTTGACTCGAGAGGCTGTTGCACAATATATGTTTGTTCACTATCATTTATTATGGTATATGCTCATCATTCTATTTATCATCGTTAGATGAGTTTGAATTTTGAAATTTTAGATAGGCACAAATCTTGAAATTCAAATTCATTTAATAATGATAAATAAGGTGCTAAGCATACACCACACTAAAGGGCGATCAACAAAAATACACTCTAATATATGGGGGTTTGCAGGGTAAAATAGCACCTTCAATTCTGCACACACAATCTTTGAGTGGGGAGGGTGTAAACAATAAATCAGTAATCTAGAAACTAATTTGCTTAGTCCTTTTAGTCATAAACGAGGGACGAGGGGCTGCCTACACGGGCATGAATCACATGATCAGACATATCCCGATTCCCTGGCCACATGTATATCCTGCATCTTTGTCATTTATTATTTCATTCCACCGGACGGACTCGATCATTCATTGATCAATTAGTTTTATTATATATATTATAAACTGAGAATAAAATTCATAGTTTAATTTAATTGTACGCAGACTGTCTTTTTTCATTAACCTACTAATCCACTGATAATATTATCTAATCACATATTTTATTGCTAAAAACTACTGGTTGGCCACTCCCAACTCCAAGGTCCAAAGTCCAAAGGCCAGCCAAATGATTAGCTTTGTAACGGTCCTTATTCACGTCCTTCTGAATTCTGACCAGAAACCTTTACAAAAATGGTCCATGCCTAATGCCCTAAACGCACTCACAAGTCACAACAGACAGACAGGCTCACAAATTTAGTAGGGCGGGGGCGAGAGGGGGGAGAGAGAGAGAGAGAGAGAGAGAGAGAGAGAGAGAGAGAGAGAGAGAGAGAGAGAGAGAGAGAGCGAGAGAGCGAGCGCTTTAGCAATGGAGCATCAGAGATTGTCAAGTGGAAGCAGATGGAGAGGGAAGCCTATTCGATGCAGAGGTTTTCTTTTCTTTTCTTTTTTTTTCTCTTTTTTTGATTATCAATTATTGATTAACTTTCTTGCTCTTGCTGCTAATGAATGCATGATTAAGTTCAAATGAATGGTAGTCTGACTCTGACTGATATGTGCTGCACTTGAACTTGCATGTTAATTAATAGCTGCGGTGAGTCGGAAGGCAGGAGAGCCGCTAGTTCTAGAAGATCCTGGTGGCGCCGCCAATGCCTCATGAAGTCCGCATCCGAATTATCTGTACCTCTCTCTGCCACAGCGATATCACTTTCTGGAAAATGAAGGTTCTTTCTTTCTTCTTTCCTCCTAAATGATCAATTAACAAGTTGTTGGTGCTTAATACTTCCAAAACTTTTTGTTTGTTAGGACTTTCCTGCAATTTTCCCCAGAATTCTTGGTCATGAAGCTGTGGGGTGAGCTCCAACGCTTTCTTATACGTCTTATTGCCATTTGCTTTCCAAGACATGATAAAGTAGCAAGTTAGGAACTGTCAAAATTTAAAGGGAAGAAAGAAAGGCCAAGTCTATCACTTTATTAATCTTTACCATGTCAAATGATGTACGTATACTTTTTTTAATTTCCTTATCAGCACAAGTATAATTGTTAAGGGATCGGTCACGAACCACGTCTAACTTTTGCTGCAAAGGGCAGTTAGAAGCTTTGGTTGTCATATGTTTCAGACACATTTGTTTGGTCATCACTGCTGATATACTTGTCCATCAATGCTTATTTGTCATAGGGTTGTGGAGAGTGTTGGGGAGGATGTCAATGAGGTCTCAGAAGGAGATACAGTCATCCCAACTTTCATGCCAGAATGTGGAGAATGCGTAGATTGCAAATCCACAAAGAGCCACCTATGTACAAAACTCCCCTTCAAGCTCTCACCTTTTATGCCAAGACACGAGACTAGCCGATTCACAGACCTCAATGGGGAGGTTCTATACCATTTTTTGTTCGTGTCTAGTTTTGCAGAGTATACAGTGGTTGACATAGCCCATGTCACAAAAATTGACCCTGCAATACCTCCAAATAGGGCATGCCTTCTCGGCTGTGGAGTATCAACAGGTACACTAGAAATTCCTTATAATTCTTATCCAGATAGTGTGGTGTTTGCAAAATCTAGAGTTGTTCTAAAAAAGCCATTTTTTTGTGTGTACATGTGTAGTCGCATCTCACTAAAAATTTAGAAAACATCTATATCAATCTTTGACAAATTTGGCTTTAGGAGTTGGAGCTGCTTGGAAGACAGCAAATGTGGAGAAGGGATCAACTGTTGCTATATTTGGGCTAGGTTCAATTGGATTAGCTGTATGTTCTTGCAGAACATAGTCTGCATATCTTTTTGATACTTTTCCTCTTTCTGATATGTGATTGATTGCATCACGTCCATGATTGAATTATCCAGGTCGCGGAGGGAGCAAGACTTTGTGGAGCTACCAGAATTATTGGAGTCGATGTAAATCCGGACAAATTTGAAATTGGTATTTGTATCCTATCAGAAGAACTTGATCTTACTTTTGTTAGAGAAAAGCTTTGTATTCATGTGAATGTACTTTCTGCAAAGAATATAGACCTTATTGTTCTTTTTCTTATCACCACAGGGAAGAAGTTGGGCCTCACCGACTTTGTGAATGCTGCAACTTGTGAGAATAAATCTGCGAGCCAGGTTTTCTCTAAAACTATGCCCGACTATTCAGAGATTGTAGTATTTAATTTTTCACCTCTGGTTCACTTGGTTATCCTACTAAGCATTTCCAGTTCTTTTTTCTCATGTAAAACAGGTGATCATTGAGATGACTGGCGGGGGTGCAGACTATTGCTTTGAATGTGTTGGACTGGCATCATTGGTGCAAGAAGCTTATGCTTGTAGCCGAAAGGTTCTTGCTCGCGCTCTCTCTCTCTCTCTCTCTCTCTCTCTCTCTCTCTCTCTCTCTCTCTCCCCCTTACCGTTCCTATCTCTCACACACGCACAGACATTATTTCTATCATGCCTTTTGCTGTCTTTTGTTGAACATCTTTCAATTTGCTGATATTTAGTTATCAAAACAAGAATGTGCATAATTCTGATCATGTGGGAGCTAGTTATTTTAGATTATAACATGCATCATATTTTATGTAATTCTATGCCCAGAAGGCTTGTGAACCTCCATCAGCCATCAGGATGAATTTAGGCGGCTATAATTTGTTTTCACTGAACAATGTATTAATATCATTCTTTTCAACTGCAGGGTTGGGGAAAAACAATCGTGTTAGGTGTGGACAAACCAGGGTCAAGGGTGAGCCTTCCCTCTAGTGATATCCTTCACAGCGGCAAAACCCTCATGGGATCCTTATTCGGAGGACTCAAACCTAAATCGGATATCCCTGCCCTCATCAATCGTTACATGGACAAGGTGCTTTAGGAGTAAACTGTTTACTTGGATTGTTTTTCGCTTTACTGTAACTGGATATCCTTTAAATTTTTTGATTTTCATGCTATCAGGAACTACAACTGGATGAGTTTGTGACAAATGAGGTGAGGTTTGAAGACATCAACAAAGCTTTCGATTTGCTCATTGAAGGGCAATGCCTTCGATGTGTAATCTATATGAGCAATGAGTAAATTACTTCTGCGTGTAACAGCCTTTACATTTATATGTACTCTATGCTATCAATAAGCATGTAAGGTTTCAGATTCTAAATGAGTACTTATTTGCATCCCTTGCTACCTTGTCTTCTTATTTTCTTTAAGAGGGATACACATGAAAGAAAAATACTAAATAAACATTTAAGACACTGCAAAACCACTAGATGCGCCAGTGAAGCAGGTGTTGGGGGAATCCTTGGTTTCCTTTGCTGAACCAAAATGCCTTAGCCTGTGAACCCCCGAATTTGCATCCCTCGGTATTTCCCCTTCTATGGTTGCTGTGCCATATAAGCTACCGGTATCTACATTCCACTTGAAAAACAGGGAGAAATCATCATCGTCGTAAACAGGAACCCAGTGTTTTCCTTGAAGCATCTCTACCACTGCATATGTCCCTTCCGTCAATAAGTCATATCTTGGGTTAGCACTCCAAACCGTGGCAGTTGGTCGATCTCCCTTTTTGAATGATCCACTTTTGGGTAAGTTGATATCCTCTTTAATAACCCCGAAAGTTTGTATCTGGGGGAGGTGAGTCTCCAGAACAACCAACTAAGAGCCTGAGTTGTACAGAGGAAAGATGTGGTGGTAAGGGACCTTAAGGAAGGCCTTTGTCTCCCTTTGCCATCGCTTTGGCTAATTTCTCGAATTCTTGAATGTAAGATGATAATGTGTGAGGACCATAGAGAGTGGAAGCTAGATTTAGGTAAGTCTCATGCCAAACGTGTTAAAGAATAAATTTCGCTTATGGGTTGAGTATGTACCTCATATCTTTGTTGTGTGTGTTAGGAAGACCTGCTATTACAATGTGAGTACCCTCGTCAAATTCACCATTGCTGTTACTTATAAGGGTCTCCTTGACTGCTTCCCTTAGCCGCCAACTGGCCATTGTGGTGAATTCTGCAAGAATCGGTAGCTTAGAGATTGTTAAATCCATTCGTACTGGTGTCAAGAGCAGGCCTTATGGTGAGTGCTCATGGTGGCTGTTTGTCTCATAGTATATGTCACTTGTGAGGGGTTTTAGTTTTTAGATTGATTTACGCAGTAAGGTGTAAACGAATCTCAGTGATGTTGGAATGGGACTGCCTTTGTGTTTTGGTAAAGAATTTGTCAGTGCGCATGCGATGGACATAGGTATGAGTTGTGAATTGTAAAAGAGGACTAATCTCCAGGGACAGAAAGTATGATCAGCTTCCCAACCTGAGCATTTGAATAGGAACGGTTGCAGGCTGCATTTGATCCCTAAGGTTACAATAGTTAAAAGAGAATTTTCTCTCAACTCAGTAATTCTAAATATATGTACGAAATGGAGTTCAACTCTCCTAGGGTCCTCATTTGAGGATTGTGAGTAGGGATGGGCAAATACCCATTGGTTATGGGTAATCGTGGTTACCCGCCTATTTAGATTAAACGGTTACGGTTATGGATAACCGTTTAGATAAATAAACGGTTATGGGTATAACCATTTACCCGTGAAATTTAAATAGGCGGTTATGGGTATTAACCGTGGTTATAAACGGCTAACTGTTTACCCATTTATTTTATATATGTAAAACTAACACAAATCATGTTCTCGATCCAATAATACTTAGCACCCAATAAATTAGCAAGGAATTCATCGGTCATTCTCTCAATAACACAACTACAGGAATGATGATTCTCATCATCAAGGAATTGGCCAAATTAATTTAAATTCTTTGCGAGTAACCGTGAAATTGAAAGAAATGCTTTGACAGAAATGTCTTCTAAACAATTTTTGTAACCCAATAATACCTAGCAAATATTATATTTACCTTCATTGGTAACAGTTAAAAATATCGTCCCTAAACTATTATTTCAATTATTGGAATGGTATAAGGACTTAAAAAAAATTAAAATATGGAAATGTATGATGAATGTACCTATAACGGTGTTTAATTGTCCGAAAAAAAAATTATGACATTTTTTTTTAATTTTCAAGTTGTTAAAAAACATGTAGACGGGTGAAAAAAGGGTAATGGTAAAAAAAAAAGATAAACGAGTTAAAAAGGATAAATGGGTAAACGTGTATTAAACGGTTACGGTTAAATGGGTATGCGGTTATGGGTATGGTTAACCGTTTATAAACGGTTATGGGTATGTGTATAACCGTTTAGACAATTACCCAATGAGTAAACGGTTATGGGTAAATTAACTGCAGTTACCCGACCGCCATAACTATTGCCTATCCCTAATTGTGAGAATCATATGCTACAAAATTATATTAGTTTAGATAGTTGACAAAGAACAAAATAAGTTTTCTAATGGTTTATAAATTTTAGGGAACTTTAACGAAAAGCACACGGTACTGTTCACTTTAACGAAAAACCACATTTTTACACTAAAAAGTCAATCTTGATACTATTCACTTTACCCTTTATTTTGTCCTTATCATTAAAACTCAAAGTTTTCAAGCCCTTTTCATTAGTTTTCCTTAAATTTTAAGGTAGTTTTGCTTTATTAAATTGTCAATATTTTAAACCTTTAAATTCAAAATGTGAGGAAGAAAGTTGAAGTCAACAAGAAAATTAGCTTTTAAAATTGAAAAAAAAGAAGGAAGAATTGCTTTCTTCAAGTCATTTTAGGATTTTGCTTGCTATAAAAAAAACATAGTCATTTTAAGTTCTAAATTCCAACAGATTAGTACACACCTTTCGTTAATAGGAACCGGAACTGGAACCTTCCGAAAATTCCCCAAGTTTGCAATTAGGGCTTTTGTATTGTAATTGAAGACCACCGGAACCGGACTTTCCAACGTTGTTGCTTTGCATCAGCCAGTTGAGGCTTGCGATCGCCGTAGGATTGAACGATTATCGGGTATGTAGATTTGCTTTTTGAAGATCAAATGTTTTTGTTTGTTTGTTTGTTTGTTGGAGTTTGGAAATTATATTCTCAGCATGACATATAGCCCGTGATATTCGGCAATTCGGCATTTGAAGGGTCCAATGCAATTCCCAAATCAATTAAATTTCCAGTCTTATAGGGTTTGACTGCAAAACCCTAAATATTTGTTTGCACGTTCAGATTCAGCTCTGTCGAGCAATAGCATCATCCGGGATTCTATTTCGTATTGCAAAATCAGACAATATCTGTTGTATTGCTTGTCGATTCTGCGAATTATGTACTAGGAAGTTTGATGTTTGATGTTGAAAGGAAAAATGAGATGTATGATTCTACAGGCAGATACTAAGGGTTGGAAACTTGAGGTTACTTTCTAAACCATTTCGACCAGCATGGAAGATCAGCACTCCAACGAAGGCGCCAGTTCTGGCAATGTTGTTGGGGCCACTTCTGATTCAAATCTTGAGATCAATATTAAGACTTTAGACTCACAGATGTACAGTTTTCAAGTTGATAAAAATGTGAGTTCTAGTCTTTGGTCGTCTTGCGTAATGCTTACTTATATGGGTTTTAGTTTTGTTATTTTTCATATCTAAACCGTGAGCAAACTGCTAGGAACTACATGTTTGTCCCTGCCTTTATCAAGATATGATCCCTTCAAGATCTTATTTATTTTATATACTGAGATGTTTGTACATATACATTTCTCTTTCAGATGCGAGTTTCACTGTTCAAGGAAAAAATAGCTGATCAAACAGGTGTACCAGTCAGTCAGCAGCGGCTGATTTTCAGGGGAAGGGTGTTAAAAGATGACCATCCTCTTTCTGAGTATCGTATCCTACTATTTCGAACATGTATTGTTTACGTTAGATTTATATAGGAATTCTGGTGCGTGTAGTATGTTCACCCAGGCAGAATGCTTGAAATTTGAGTAACTGAATTAGATCTCTACCTGTCATCTGTCAGCTGGGTTGGTTAGTTTATTGTGTCGTCACAATACATATACACAAACCTCTTGTATGACATTTCAATTTTTTTAAGCTTTCAAAATTTTAGGTATTACAGTAGTTATTGTTGATCCCCCACTTAGTTTCTATTGCTATCCCTTAACCTCTTGTAGATTTGGAAAATGGGCACACATTGCACTTAGTTATTAGGCAGCCATCCCAGCCACAACCTTCATCGGGTACAAGTTCTGGCGAGGCACATGTGAATAGTGGTAAATAAGTAATTTGATTTTAGTAGTGTTGGTACTTCTATCTCAGGTTCAGAGTAATTTGTTTTTTGAGCAATGTTGGTGTATAAGCTTCTTGATGTAATTTGGCAGGAAATGATGCTAGTGGTGTTCCTCGTGGTCGCATTGGCCAGATATCTCACAGTGTAGTTCTTGGGACATTTAATGTTGGAGATCAAGGTGAAGGCGCTGTTCCTGATCTTAGTCGGGTTCGTATTTGCTTCTTGTTGTGTTAAAGTAATGGATTTATATATGTGCGTGTGTGTATATATATTATATATATAAATGGGTGAGGAGCCTTAAAGTTGTACTTCCGGAAGCACATTATGCTTTATTCTTTCTTGGTAGCTTATTGGCACGGTTCTGAATTCTATTGGAATTGGCACCCAGGCTACAACTAATGGCACAGGCAACCCACAGTTCACTACTTCGGTGAGCAATGAATGTTTCTTGAAATTACAACCAGATATATTAATATCCTAAGTATTTTTCTCACTTGCAATTGTGGTCCAGATAAAATAAATTGAAACTGCTGTAATCTTGTAAAACTAAAGAAAATGTCATAAGTGTTCATGGGCTAACGTTCCTTAGGAAAAAAGTATAAATTTATTTTGTGGTTTTCCTACAGTCAAACACTCCTGGTCAGCCTCGTAATGGAAATGAAACAGAAGGGTCTCATAATGTCAACGGAGGAGGACATCAAGCACAGTCTGGACAGGCATTTCCTACCCAACCATTCCAAACTTTTCCTCAAGCTGTGCAAACTCCTCTTGCAGCTGCAGCATTTCCTATGCCTTCATTAAATATGGTATTGTTATGGATTTTTGGGCATGTCTTATAAGTGAATTGGACATGTATGCGACTGCTTAATGTTTTTTATGTTTTCTGTCCAGCCAATTCCACACTCTTTGGATACACTCTCCGAGTTCATGAAGAGAATGGAGCAGGGATTATCGCAAAATGGTTAAAAACCAAAAACAGTCTTTTACTATACAGTAAGACATAAGGAATAAGCTAAATTTTTCTGGTTTTATTTAGGTTATCAGCCAAATACATCTGCAACCAATACAGGAGACCCACCTAGGGTGAACTTACCTTCCACTGCACAGGGGATGCCCACACCTGAGGCATTGGGGATTGTTCTTCGTCATGTAGAGCGACTACTCAGCAATCATGCTGTTTCTGCGCTATCTGTAAGACTTCTAAATTTATCTTTCCCTATTGATTATGCTGTTTATGCTATTTTTTTCCAGAGAAACTACCATGGCACCATACACATACAATGATCATTTTCCCTTGAATTAACTGTTTGTCTTGGACTTAAAAAAGTATTTTCTCATTTGGGTTGTAGAAGAAGGGTTCCTTTGCATGCTAGAGCATAACGTATCTTTTATGATTATTAAAGGAATTAAAACTTGCCCTTTGACAAGGATACAAACTTTTTAAGACTTGGATTATTAAAGGGCTTGCTTACCACAGTCATTATTCAATCCGCCCAGCTGATCAGTTCAGTTTGGTGGATTGGATCAATTTCAATAGATTCACGTGTAATATAAAGATTGAAGCTATTGTAAAGTGTTTTGCTCATATCATGTACCAAACATAATTCTCAAAGAAAGTTATTGTTTCCATAATTTCAAATGCTTACCAACTCTCATTTATTAAAATGGAAAGCTTTATCCTGATAAAGAGTCATGACCATTTCATCTTTGTTTACTGCTTGTGTTAACTGATTATGAGTTTAATTTTAATTTACTGCAACTTTGTAGCACATTGCAGGACGATTGGAACAAGATGGAGCATCTTCTGATCCCTCTGTGAGAGGTCAAATTCAGACAGAATCT